CTGCTGAGCATGTGGGCACCCCCCCCACACACACACTCCTGTGGGACGTTCCATCTTCCCCAGCATCATAGCATTCACGAGCTGCACCTGGTATCTCGAGGTATGTAGAAAAAACATTTAAAGCTCTGTTTATGGCCAAATCACTGATTCTCTGAATCAGCATCAAATCTCCAAATTTGGATTTGGCCGAATCGAATCGGGGACAGTGAACCGAATCAACAAATCAAATCACTTTCTTTGATTAGGGCTGAATCTGAATTAAATATGGCCCAATTCACACACCCCTAATAATGAACTAGGAGAAACTCCTGAGCTTTATTTTTGCTTTAGGACTTTCCTTGTAATCATATCTAAATTGCATAGAATGATACCTTTTGTCTAAATTACATAGAATGATACTTACTTGTCTGAAGTTGTAGTCTGTATTGACCTAAAAAGGGCCTGTGGCTTTTTGTAGGAGTTCAGGTGTTTCCTGAAGAGTCACAGTAAGCTTACCAACAGAGTAATTTATTAAAATTTGCACAGAACTCTTGTAGGATACATGCTAAGTATAATGCATTGCCATCAGTCCAAAAATATACCATTTACATGGTAAAATAAATACCTGGTTGTTAACATATTAGGATTTGGGGGAAGCATTTAGCTTTCATTCATGTGGATACTAATAAACATCTTGAATCAGAAAATTATGGTTACACTGAAGGTATATTTAGAAACAATGTACTGGTATGTAATTTCTACATTGTGTAGTTAAAACCCACGGGAAGGAACTATTAAATGAGGTGGTGAGTTTCTGCAATGGAATTCTGTGTAGAGAGACACCTTTGAGATTACTTTAAATGATCTTGATAATGCTGAGTTACTGACTTGCAAGATTAAGCAAAAGGTACAAGAGAAGGAGTACAGTTAAGATAATCAATTATATAGCTGAGATGTGGAACACAAGAGCCAGATGAGTGACTGTAATCCCATAAAGGTGTGAAGAACATTGTATATGATACCCACACTCTCTGAAGTGGCTTTACCATTACTTTATTCCCATATTATATAAAAAAAAAATGACATGGAAAAATATGTTGTGCTCAGTAGCAACATAGCTCATAGCTCTTGCTCAGCAATGTGGTTTGTATGAATTAAGACTTGTTGAACTATGATGCAGCTATTAATATATTTTGACCTTTTAATTCAGCAGATAGCTGAAATACAATCCACTCTGCCTGGATTTATGCAGTTGAATACTGGTGTAAAAGATGTAGACAAAAATGATCGATGACAGCAAGATAAAAATAATTTCTGTGTTTTGCTATTTCCTTATAAGATATCAGAGCTCAGAATACCTAGTAAAACATACTGTAATCATGGTTCTCATCCTCACCACTGTTATCATCTTTGCATTTAATCATTTTTACTCTAAGAGGAACAGATAAAATTAACTAACCTATGCACCAATGATTCATGATATATCAACTTTTTCAACATTAATTGTTGTAAGGCCCTGTTTTTTACTACATAAACAACCAGATTTAAAATGTTAAAATGGTCATTGTTATCACTGTAGCAGTCTTTCTTCTACCTGTCCATAGGGAATTACATAGCACACATCACCATGCAAGAACTACAATGTTCACTACTGACTCTCCTAAAGACTTGCTCTTCTCTCTTGTGTGTAAAAGGTACTCATTAAACAGAGTAATTATTTAGGGAGCTTTTTCAAAAGCAGTCAGCACTAGCATGAGTAAGCATAAATTGCATAGAACTCCCACAGATTTTAAAGTTAGACCAACTTTGAATGCTTCTGAAAGTATCACTATTCATTTTTAGTTATTTTGTTCTGAAGATGATCCCTGACTGTAATATAAATAATAGAAAAACTAAATAAAATTTGTAATTTCCCTTTTGTAAGTGTGTCAGAAACTTTGGCTCAATTTTAGCATCAGAATAGGCACACACAAGTCTCATTATTTTCAAATAGTTCTGTATATAACACATCCGACAGCAAACTTCATTTCTACAACTGTCTGTATCTAAGGCTGCTAACTGAAGTTAATTTACAGACATGATGGGGCCCGATCCACAGCTCCAACGATTGCACCTCCTCCCATACCACACATGCATAACTGGGCATGTGATTTTGGGATCAGAGATTAGATCCCCGTCGCGCCTTACTTTCCAATGTAGGGGACGCTCCAGCTGGGTGGCACTCATAGTTTGTACTCATCCCTGTAACAGGGACCTGTAAAAGCCACATGTGCCACCTGGCTGCAGTTTGATAATCACCTGTCAATCAACCAGTTTCAGATCCCAGCCCCAGCCTATAATCAATTGATTGTCAGGCACCCAGCTTTCAGTTTTGTGAAGCAGGGGGACTCCAGGATCACAATCCCAGGCTGTACTTGCACTGGTAAATAAGGTGTGATGGGGATCTAATTCCCCAGCCCAAAATTGCATGTCCTGCCATGCATATGTGCATAGTATGAGGCATGATTGTTGGGATTGTAGATCAGATCCCATCACTCCTTTAAGTGAAGGTCTGTCAGTAGCTTAAATAGACCACCTACAGACCCAAGCTATGTAATATGGAAGATGGAACTGACCGTAACAATGTACATAGGGCACGCGTGGTTAGATTTAAATCTTTTCTTATCTGTGTTTATACACTAATAAAAAACTTAGGAAGACTTCTTACATTTTGCAGTTTTAGCAATGGTCTGAATTGTTCAAGTGGATAAACAGTTTAGGGTTGTTATCTTCTACAACCACCTAACAGATGGGAGACACAGTCTGAAATGTCTTGATTTTCTAGTAGTAACTTATTGCTAATGTTTTCTGTCATTAGAGCCACTGTTGGCTCAAGATGAGGCAAACAATAAACACAATTTAAAATAAACATGTTTTATTAAAGTCAACACCAAATTAAGTCATATTTAAAATCTATCCCAGAGTAGCAAAGTCTTTCCTCTTCACATTGTGCTTCATAATGCACCCTGAGTAAAAGTACAAAACCTGAACTGGCTCACTCCTTAATTACATATATTAATCATTTTAAATTGTCTCAATCAGTAATAACAAATACTACAGCTCCCCTAGAATAACATCATAATTAGCATTGCAATATTTAAAGCCCAAACAAACAAATGAGTAATGAAACCATTTAGCTTTCCTTACAGTGTTTCAATTTATAATCAGTTAAGAATACTTACTTGCTTACTCTAAGTGAAATAAATGGAAAATGAAAATGGTATTTTATAAAGAGTGTGTTCAGAGCATTGAAATATAAAACAGAAAAAGGAATCAGGGCAGAAACAAGTCCAGTTAAGTACCATATGTAATGAACTGTTTGAACTGGGGAAGTTTATAGAGACAAATACTGCCTAGATAAATTACAGCATCTTCACTATTCCAGTAAACTATTGGGCATGGAAGCCCTGTAAAGGAACAAAGTTGGATTTCTTACTGTTTTATTGGCATGATTTCATGGAACTGGAGTGGGGTGGTGTGGGGTGGGATAAGAAAAAAATCAGCTATGAAGAAATAAGTAGAAGGGTCCAAAGCCCCAAAGAAGAGGATAAAAATGTTGTATCTCGTTCTGGTAGTCCAAAGAACCACTTTAAAAACAGACATAAAGAAAAGATAAATCATAGCATGTAGTTCTTTTGTTTTGACATAATCTGGTTTAAAGTATTGAATATAATACATTACATTATATTAGCAAATGTGATTTAGTGTATTTTGTAAAAATAATGAAGCGTTAAGACTCCCCATCGCCTGATCTGCTATTAAGTCTGCTGAAAAGTAAAGTGACACAGGTTGGCAAACCAGTGAAGTGAGAATTAATAAGCTTCTTCTGCAGTGATCAACAGCTGCCCTGCTTCTCTCATTTGCAGATCCACAGCTACCTTAAACATTTTGTGATCTTGGTCTTACAGTGCCCATCCCATCATGTGAAGAACTCCCTGGAAAACAATGCAAGGCCAGTGCATAAGGGCTCACTGTATCAGGTCCAGCTGCATAAAAATTGTTTTAAATGAAAATCATCTTGCTTTTTGCTCTCCCAGTCATTCATTCCAGTCCTTCTTCCCACAGGTCCAAGATAATTTTAGAAATAAAAATGTATTTGATAACACTGTTAATATTCAAATCTTCCCTTTTCTGTTCCTCTCCTTCAGCATTATATTCAAAACCCAGATGCTTTCTCAGTTCTATTAAAAAGAAATATTTAATAGAGAAATTCTCCTACCAGAGTTAGTTCCCAGCTGACTTTTTGTGTGCACTGATTTTTAATAGACTACTCCAGGGGTTGATCACATAACCGCATCCACTGATACAGTCAGTATACTCTTGGTTCCATATGACTGGAGCATCCAGACGAATGCCACATAATCCTATTTAACTATACAGATTTAATAGGATTATTTGGCATTATATTCATATATCACTGTAGGCATACATTAAAAGTGTATGGGAATTTTCCAATGATTTAGATACAGATCTGAAGATTTACAAAACATTTTGTGGAAATATATTAGTTTTATTGGAATTTCAAAACCAGAGAGAGAGAGGGAGAGG